TCAGGTCCCTTTAAGCACAGCCCTCGGCTAGCCTGAGACAGCAGCTCCACTCTCTAAGTCCTCATCTGATGCCCTGCCGGCACTGCTTCCGGACATCCTTAACCCCAGTTCAGGGTCCACTCTGTGTGGATGCACTAGTTCGAATTAGCAAAATGCTAATTCAAACTAGTTTTTAAGTCTAGCTGCGCTAGTTCGAATTAGCTTAGTTCGAATTAACTAATTCGAACTAAGTTAGTTCGAATTAGCGCTGTAGTGTAGACATACCCTCTGTGACATGTCCTTTTCAGTGACTACCCCAATTTTTGTGTCACCTGCAACCTTTATCAATGATGATTTCGTGTTTTCTTCCAGCTCACTGATGAAAAAGCCTCAAGCCAAGAACCAACGTCTGTGGGATCCTAACGGTTACACACCAGGTCTATAACGCTTCCCCATTGACAATTCCATTCTGAGACCTCTCAGTTAGCCAGTTATTCATCCCACTGATGTGCAGGAAGGGAGAGATTCCTTGAGAACAGCCCAGTCAGCAGCAGGGTGGCTCACACAGACACAGAATCAGCCTGACTTTGTCTGGGAATATGGCCTTTGTCCCATTACATCCCTGAGCTCTCTGCTGAAGCAGCCAGAGACTATCAGTGCCAGATGTGAGGGGGGTTTTTGTAATTTCGGCACCCAGGAGCTCCGCAGAGAGCTCCCAGTGCAAAAACACCACTCAGGACAGTGGCCAGTGGCCATTTCACAGGGCTGTCGGCTACAAGCCCACTCAACACGGGGATTCCATCTGGGTGCGGCTGGGCTACAACACCCAGTTCAGGCTTCCCTGAGAATATCAGCCCAGCTGCAGGCCAGGGGTCTGATGGGGGCAGTCAGAATACAGCAGTTAGACAAGACTCTTTCTGGGCCTGTAATGCCAGGAGGATGTGAGGGGGCTGGGGAATGCCTACCGTCCCCGCGGGTTTGCAGAGCGTAGTAAGGCTCTTCACAGACATAGCGGACAGTGGCT